ATTTAAAAGCAATAAACGCAGTCTTTTTTGTTTGTTTAAACGCATTAATTACTGCGATTAAGGAGATGGATCATGTTACAAAAAGCATTAAAAATACCCAGTAGTATATTTTTTTATACAACACACAGAGCTTCATTAAAAATGGAAAACGTATTTTTAAGTCCGTTGGATGGGACATTAAATGGTGCCCCGTGTCAAGGATTACAACAAGATCGTTTCTCTGGATTTCGAAAAAGAGTAGGCTCATCGGGGGCAGCCAGAGAAACCAAAACTTTCAAAAACTGATCATTTAAACAGAATAATCGGCGTTAAACATTAAACAAGCAGTCAATCATTTCAGAATATAAAGATTTTGCTGAATTTCAGCAGAATGGTTATAATTATATTAAAAAAAATTAAATGTGGGGGTTTATGTAATTTTTTTTTCTTTTTTCATAGATATTATTAAATGGTGTCAATTTTTAGCATAAAGTGAGGCTATTATTTTATCTGGACTTTCACAATAAATTTGCTATATTTTTCACAAGATGATAATAAAATTCATGGCAGTTAATTTGATGAATAATTTGGGACCAAGATAAAACATTTCACTGCACAGAATAACTCTGTGTGCAACTTGCATGGAAAAATAGGAATTCAAACTTAACAGTGGTGTAAATTCTTTGAAAAAGAAAAATCTCATTTTTTTTCTGAAAAAAAAAAAATTCCGTCAGAAGATATGTTTCCTCTCCTAATTCTTTTGATATGGAATTTAATCTTGGAATTTTAATTGAATATAGTTTAATTGGCATTGTAGACTCAAAATTTATTGAAGGAACTAAAATAATATGCAGATTTTTTTAATAGACATCAAACCAAAAATATGCTCAAAATCTGAGGAGCGAACCTCTTTAAACGCAGTTTTCTCAGCGGGTCTCCGTTCAATCCCTTACTCCTAAAGTTATTCCAAACCTTTTATAATTTTTGATATTTTTTTAACTTACAGAACAGATATGAAAAATGATATATATTTTTCAATATCAACATACATGTATCACGAATTTCTTTTTTTAATCTGTGTGTATCGATACCTATATCGTACAAAATAAAGTTGTATTCAAATTAGGTTGGTTTGTGAGGAAACAATAAAAGAGACATGGCCCGCCCCAAAATCCTCTCTCAGGATCAAATCTTAGAATCATCCTTCAATAATAATCCCCTAAATAATGACCATGATGACAAGTTATCAAAATTAACTTTATTGATTCTGTTCACAATGTACATGTCAGATATCACGCCGTTTGCATTGTCGGTTTATGATACAGAATACGATAGATGTGTTCGGTATAAAATTTATCACTTCTTTATTGAAAATGTCCTTCCATTGTCAAAATTCGAGTGTTGGTAAAATGGGTTGGTGCTGTCGGACCTGTACGGGCAAATTAAAACCCTGGTTGTAAAATATTCTTCGTTAATACTCAGTCAATTGAATTGAAATGGGTGGATTATGAAGGTCGATTATAATAAGAATATTTATTAAATGAGATGTTTAACTATTAGTAATTCTAATTGAATAATATCAAAGTTGTGTAAAATGGGAGTAAAATTTCTTGTCATATATTTCCTTTCAAATAAATTATGTTGTGTTCAGCAGATAATATTAGTCGGAATATTGCAGTTTTAAATTAGCCTTTTGATGTTTGTTGTATCGGCATATATCCATCAAAATTCATACAATCTTTAAAATCTTCTTAACTACTGTACATTATGTAAAAATTTTCACAGGGTGCACCCCCTTCCTGTAAATTATTAGGACCAATGCACAGGCACTTGACGCTTTAAACCTTTCTCTTCAATGATAAGAATATCATCATATTATAATGATATTATGGTATGGGATGGACATTATGTGATGAATGAAGTGATTATACCGGTTTCTGGGTCACTGTATAAATGTATATATCGAATTGTGGGATAACTATATTCACTATACCTGTTTGTGGGTCACTGTATATATGTATATATCGAATTGTGGGATAACTATAGTCACTATACCTGCATGTTTGTGGGTCACTGTACATATGTATATATAAATATATTGTGGGATAAATAAAGTGATTATATGCCACTCTGAGGTTCACTATTTTTAAATATGCATAAAAACTATTGGATACGTAAGCATATATATAGATTAAATATATCTTGTTAAAAATCTCATAATATAAGGTTGATAAGCAGCTCTGTGTTGAAGAAATAAATAATACATTTTGGGATGGACATTATGTGATTAATTTAGCAATCATACCAGTTTGTGGGTCACTATATGTATATTACGAATTGTTGGATAAACAGGCGATTACATGAAATATATTGTGAAAATCTAATAATATTAATTTGATAACTTGTATGTTGAATAAAGAACAAAATACGTTATGGATTGGCCATTAAGGGATTTAAACGCGATGATTATACTTGTTTTTGGTTAAATAATAATTACATTTAAAAGAAATTCTGGGATAAGGAGGCGTTTAGATAAAATATCTTGTTAAGAATCAAATAAATTCGGCTGATAAGTTGCATAATGAATAAATAATTAATACACTTTAATTATAAATAGTTAATACACTTTCGAGTTGGACATTATGGGATCAATGTATAGTACATTCTAATACCTGTTTGTGGGTCACTATATACATGATTTACATGTATATGAGAAATTGTTTGAAAAGTAGGCGATTGCAAGAAAAGTGTAACATGCAAGAGTGTCATAATATAAGGCTAATTAGCTGTATATTGATATATAAAATATTAGTACGATACGATAAACATTATGGGATCAGTCTAATGAATGCACCAGTTTGTGGGTCACTACATGTATATGTAAGAAATTATTGGATAAGTATAGGTGTTATGCATGAAATAATATTTTTAATAATGTCATAATATTGAATAAATGAATAAAATATTATGAGATGGACATTACCGGGCTAAGGTAATGATTATACCTATTTTATTTCACTTTCTATGCGTATATAGCAACTGTGGGATATGTAGGCGCAGGGATAAAATATTTTGTTAAGAATTTCTAATATATGGCTGATAAGCTGTATGTTGAATAAATAAATTATGGTAGTAGTAAATATATTATGGTAACGGACTGAATTATGGGATAGATGAAGTGATTATACCTGTTTGTGGGTCATTGTATATATAGATATGACGAATTGTGGGATAAATATATTGCACGTGATTATACCTGATTGTTGGTCACTGTATATAATGTATATAAAAATGTAGTGCTTGTAACAGTTTGTGGGTCACTGTATATATGTATAAATGAATTGTGGGATAAATATAGTGATTATACCTGTTTGTGGGTCACTGTATATATGTATATAATGAATTGTGGGATAAATATAGTGATTATACATGTTTGTGGGTCCCTGTATATATGTATATAATGAATTGTGGGATAAATATAGTGAATATACATGTTTGTGGATCACTGTATATATATACGTATATAATGAACTGTGGGATAAATATAATGATTATACCTGGTTGTGGGTCACGATATAAATATGTCTATAATAAACTTTTGGATATGTAAGCATATACGTAAGATATTGTCTTTAAAATCTCATAATATAAGGTTGATAAGCTCTTTATTGTTTAAATAAATAATTCACGAATGGAAGATCATTATAATATAAACGTATAGTGATCATAGCTGTTTGTGGGTCACTATATATATACATGTATATAACGAATTGTGGGACAGGCGATTGCATAAAATATGTAGTGTAGAATCTCATAATATTAGTCTGCTATCCTATATGTTGAATCAATAAAAATACGTTACGGATTGGACATTATGGAATCAATGCAGTGATTATACCTGTATAATTACTTTCAAAAATAAGAATTCAATGCTTAAATGTGGTTCACTATATATATGTATATAAGAAAATCTGGGATAAGTAGGTGTATAGATAAAATATGCCGTTCAATATCTAACATTGCTTAATGAATAAATAAATTATAAATAATACATTGTGGGATGGACATTATTTGATTAATCATCTTTGTCACTATATATATATGTGTATGTAAGAGATTGTGGGATATATATATAGAGAGAGAGAGGATATCCCTAAAATATCTTGTTCAGAATCTCATAAATCGTATATCGCAGTGAGTCATTAATATGCAATATGACCCCAAAATACTTGAAAAGTAATAGTTACAATCTTATATTGAATCCCCCAAAACTGTTCTTAATGATTCATTCTATTTTGTACATATGTAAATATACATATATATTATTTATATCAAATATTAATTCTTATGTCTTTCATTGTGAAATCCAGGACATGATATATATAGCATGTGATAATATTGTGGGTCATAATATTCATAAATAGAGCATTGTGCGATGTATATACTTTATCCCACAATGCTCTATAAATATGAAAATAATGACCCACAATGATATACAACATTTTTAATCTTATCTCAAAAATTATATTATATATTATATAAGGACCATATATAACGCTTAAATCATGAATATGACATAGCTATTCAATGTAGAAATGCGAGATCCCACAAACCTGTTTAGAAGGTCGGTGCCCACAAACAACCTCATATACCTATATATATATATATATATATATATATATATATATATAACCTGAGTTGGGACAGTTTTCGCTTAATAAACCGCGAAGTGGTTTATAAAAAGGCTTAAACTGTTCCAACCAAGGTTAAGGCAGCATAACTTGGGTAGCTATTAAATTCGTTCCTTATAATTTAATTTTCCATCTTTAAATTTAGAAAAATAGAGGAAATTTCTCCTTTAAAAATGTCTTCGAATTGTGAATCTTTCAAATTTAACGTCAAGCGGATTAATTCGTGACGAAGGCAACACAGGTTATACGATATAAATTTTATTTATTTTACCAATCAAATGACGTGTAACAAACGAAATTAAATTATATTTAGATATAATGACCACGTACCACAGCAGTCACCTCTGGCAAAGACTTCTATTTGGCGTATTTTAAAGTTCCTTCCTAGGTCAATCCGAAGCCATGGATTTTTCCCGCTGTTTGTACAGGAAAAGTCTGTTAGGAGACCATTGACTGCATAAGATGCTGCATGAACTGGATGTGAAGAAACATGGAAAACTGATGCCCCATAGGCAACATTTCTAATGTCACTGTGACTGATTGAAAATTCCACTTGACAAGTAAGGAGTAAAAATACAGAAAGGAACCACAGACGCATCTTTTTTATGCACTTGTGTTTAAGATAAATTGAGAGAGCGGTATCTTTTATAGTGACAATAAATTATGCTATTGCATGACTTCAAACACATTTTTACCATTGTCATATATGTAATACAAGACTTATCGCGTGACATAACACATATATATTTATTAGAGCTGTCTTCAAACTGAATCAGAACGAATACAAATAAATCTCAGAAAATTATAATCTAATCAGGAGGTCTTGATCTACTATGGTTAAAGTTTTCAGTTCAACTTATTTTAAGCACTGGAAATCAATATGTCTTCTCACTGGTCACGTGATGTGCAATCACGTGGTTTAACCAATATTTAATAATACCTAAAATATTGAGCAATGTTGAGGTCACCTATAAATATTGCAAGAGCATAAGCAAGTTAAAAATCTAAAATAAATTTATAAATATCGTCAGCAGATTTTGTAGTTGATGACAAATGCTTTTAACCTAAGCATATTCTTTAACGATATCTTTATATAATTATTTGTAAAAATTGTGTTGGGAATTTCAACATGACGGATACATGCCATATTTAAAATCGGGCTCATTTCCTCATGATTTCTGGCATAATAATTCATTCCCAGATATGTAAAAGCCTCAACCCATATATTCTACTTGCCTATACAATATGATATCATGATAATCTCTACGTGAACTTTAGAAATAACTAAATCATAATATTACATTTAAAGAATTATTACAGGTCTTAGAAATAAAAGAAAAAAAAAACAAAACAAAACATACTACAGTCCCTGAAACGTTCTACTTTCCCATTTTTCCGTTCGCTCACCGTTCGTTCACCGTTCGTTCAGCGTGCGTTCACCGTTCGTTCACCGTGCGTTCACCGTTCGCTCTCCGTTCACAGTTTTGCGTTCAGCGTTCACCGTGCGCTCGCGTTCACCGTTCACAAAGCGTTCAGCGTTCGCTCTTCGTTCGTTCACTTTGCGTTCACCTTGCGTTCAGCGTTCACTTATCGTTCAGTCTTTACTGTCATTCGGAACTCCGAAGTGAATGGACTTATCTTTATTTAAGTAAGGATTTACAAATTTAATAATTAACATATCGTGTTTAAAGAAAAAAATATCTACAATATTTATTTTTATTATTCTAACTTAGCTGTTAGGTTATTTATTAAATTTATCTGGAAAATAAATGTTGTTATAAGTACATATATGTACCTATGTAGAACGATGCTGAAAAATTAAATTTAAATACGGGCAATATACAGATGCTTCAAGCACTGCAACATTTTGTTGTTATGTTAAAGACTACAAATCGTTAATGGATAGATAATAACCGAAGTCAATTAATTTACCAACTTCAGCAGAATTACGAAAATATTTATTTCTAACACAATTTTTTTCCCAAATAATACAGAAATACATGTTAAAACTAATTCTGAGGATTATAAACAGTACTGCAGATATCCAGTTGATTAAATGTCTTTAGAGCGAATTAAATTGATAGTGTGGTTTGAAAAAAAAAAATCTTTTAAAAATGTAATACATTAAAGAATTTTTTTTCTACTTTACATATATAAAGTCTTTGATTAGAGAGAGAGAAATGCCTTTATAACATGATTATCGTTAATATAACCAAAGTGATTCTCCAGTAATGATATTTTTTATGTTTGCCATTCGATATAATTAAGAGCCCCCCCCCCCCCTTCCCGTAAATCGGTTACTTAGTATTTTCGGTATATTTTAATTAACATTTAAATAGAAGTTAATGTGTTTTGTAGCACAAAAACATCATTCTCAAAACAAATATGCATTTAAACAAAGTCATTAAACAATAGTAGTTCAAAATATACATGTGCCGGCGGTGATATTTTAAATTGACAGGGAGTAGGTTTCAAATTCAAGTGGCTTAATCATTCCAAGTGTTTATTCCCAATGTATTTTATTCATTTATTATTTTTTTTTTTTTAGAAATGTTAGAATCAGATCTAGAAATGATTAGAAAAAATGTTAAAACTTCTTAGAAATACTTAACACTTTGCCTTCGGTGCGACGAGACTTTCACACCTGCACAGTGTCGAATGATTTTGATTGACAGGTCAAGCACGTGGACTTCGTGTGAACTTGAAGCAGGAAAATAAAAACCGATTACGACTGTAAAACAAATGGATTTGTTGATAAAAATAGTTTCTTTCATTGCCTGGTATATTTAGAAAAAAAAAATTAAGAATTTTTATTTGATATACATGTAGGTACAAACATTTCAGAAAGGTGGGGTGGGGGGGGGGGCTAAAACCGAATCTCTCTCTCTCTCTTTCTCTCTCTCATTTGTCTGTTAATAGAAAAACTATGACAACATATTACTTAAATATCAAGTTGTGAAAATTTAATATATAACAAATAATATGAATGCCTTTTTGTATCATCTTATCCGAGAATAATCACGGCCGGGAAATGTCTACAGATACATGTAGAAGTCTGCTCAATAAATCATCATAAAAAATAAAACTGACTCATAAATATATTATTGCATTAAAGTTTTAAAATACGGGTGTATTTATGCAATACCTCCACATACCTTTGTAAAATATTTTAATTTTTTTCTCATTATTTTACACGGAATCGTCTTGGCACGAAAATATATGTATGGTTGTTACAACCGTTGTAATTCATTCTATAAGTCCGTAGTTTGCTCTTCTTAAATCCATATTATTTGTAATGATTTTATATATCAAATAAGAATAAACATATTTATTTTACAACTAGATTGATTTTATCTTTAATACTACAGCGTTCGGTAACAATTACAATGTTTTACAGCGATAAAAATTGTCTTATTAAAAAGTTTAATTTAAACATCGTACATATATGCAGAAAATATTATAAGAAACTTAAATTAATAATTTTACTTATTGTGCATGTATCGTCTTTCTTAGGATACTTTTCATTGATTTGTTTATTTCTTTATTATTCATTTATTTTTTTAGCACCAGGCGTACATACAATAGAATAGTTTCAATGCAAGGAAAAGATCAGAGGCATTCCGAATAAATCGTTCATCTTGCGTTCACCGTTCGTTCACCGTTCACTTTGCGTTTGCGCTCCGTTTGCGTTCTGCGTTCGCTCACCGTTCACCGTTCACACGTCGTTCACCAAGTTGCGTTCAGCGTTCACACATCGTTCACTCACCGTTCGCTCTGCGTTCATTCAGCGTTCATTCACCGTTCGTTCACCGTTCGCTCACCGTTCAAGTGGGAAAGTAGAACGTTTCAGGGACTGTATAAAGTAAATCTTTTTTTAGATAGTACTAATAACGAAGTATTTGTCATGGGCGTTAAAGACTTAACCCTTGACGTCACAACTGTTGGTCAAACATTAACAGATTGAAAATGAAACGTAAAGAGAATTCATTTACATGTAATCAAATACAAGAAATGGGAGTTAAGGCCATTTTTAAAAATATATATTTGCTCGTACTCTTCCGACTCAGGATAAAAGTATGGGGTCGGTATGTAGGGAGGAATTTTTATAAATTCAAAAACATATGTGAATATGAATTTAAAATAGTTATTAATGGGATCAGAAAAATCAGTAATGAATAAAAAAAAATTGTTTACTGGAGGTTTCAAAAGTTTTGAGTCGGGGCATTTTTAGTCAGTCGGTCGGGAGAGGGTAACCAAACATTATTTAAAGGTGGCCTAAAAGGCGTATACCATGAATATCGTGTGACTTTTAAGGAATTAAAGTTCCTGTATCAGAATTTCATCATTTTATTTTTGTAATAATGATTAACAATGTTTTGAAATCCCGATCAACCTTTGTCAATATAAAAAGCCGCTTACAGCTAGAATCGTGCGTTTAAGAGCAGAATTCTAACTGCATTTTTCATGGTCCAGAGATTTTTTTTTACATAATTATTTGTAAAAACATAAATAAATTATCCCTAGGGTAATTTTGAACTTCTCACATTTCACTAAGACGTATATTTCTATTTACATGTCACATGATGACGTCCTTGTGAAGTGCTTCTATACAAATCAGTAGAAACATTTTGTAACAAGCAAATTCAAAGAATTGTTGTCCCATTATTTATGGCATATTGTAACTGACTTGTTTGTGTGTCCTGTCTTTTCTGTGCATTATACAATAAAAGCCATAAACGACTAAATTATAACAGTTATGGCAAAGATTATAGCTTCTCAAAACAACATCAAACTTCAGGAGAAAGGTCATGTGGTCAAATATCATAATACAATTCGAAAGGTCTTGTCACAAGTAATGCACATGTAAAAAATATAATATCAAAAACCAGAGTATACAACTTCAGAAAGTTAATGCACATATCAAATGTCATATCTTCTCTCAATCAAAAGTTATCAGTGGTGTTAATTTTTCTTAAATTAGGTCAAACTTCAAGGTCATGGGGTTAAAACTTAAAAGTACATTTTGAAAGGCTTGTATAGGAATACACGTATCAAATATGATTGCCCTATCTTCGTTCCAACAAAAGTTTGCAACACTGATAAAATGTTTGAAAATTAGGTCAAACTCACAGGGTCAAATATCATAGTACATTTCGGAAACATTTGACACAGGTAATGCACTTGTCCTATATGAACGCCCTATCGTATCTTATAAAGAAGTTATCATCAAGTAAATTTTTTTGAAAATTAAGTCAATCACGAAGTTCAAGGTTAAGGGATTAAAGTCATAGCACGTTCGGAAACGTCTTGTCACAGGTAATGCACATGTCAAATATGAAAGCCCTATCTTTTCTCATTAAAAAGTTATAAGCAATTGTCACAGCCCATAGTTTAAGTATAAAGTTGAAGAAATGAATCACAAACACGGCTGCTGGGTTCGATATTCGTATATATATTCCGCGTCTATGGAATGTCATTATAATATACAGAGAAAGAAGGGTGACCTGAAATGTAATTACAGGTATTAGATATTTCTCACCTCACTCACACCTTTACGCTGATCATTATTTAAATCTACAAGTTTGGAGAATTTATAAA